GATGTGCAGGGGTCCTAACAACAAATTGTGTAATTGAATTGGAGAATCCCCCTTTGGGACCCCACTCCTCCCCCTAGGGAGCCAGAGTATTATGAGAGAGACCCTCTGTTAAACGGCATTCAGTCTTCTTAACCAAGTAATGCTCCAGACCATTGGTTTGAAAACATCATCAAGCCATACAGAAGGACTTCAAAGGATGTACTGTATCAGGTGACTTATGTCCTCGCAACAGCCAGGGTCATATGAGGACGGGTGTCACCTATAGAAGAAAACTGCAATTTGAAGGAAGTGCATGTGTTGACGGAAAAAAATACAGTTACCTATGTGCAAAGGGCTATAACTCCAGAAAAAATAGAACATGGACACTGGATTCTAACTCAAACTGTAATCCATTATACATGTATACTAAGTTGCCAATAATATGGAAAACAGTTAATTATGAGAATTTCCTATGTGCAAAAGGGCCATAACTCTAGTCAAAAACGGAATTTTAATACATAGTTCCAACTATGTAATCTATTATGATAAAGCACAAACAAAGTTTCAAATTGATATGACAAGCGGTAGCAAAATAAGTCCAAAAAAAGTTTATTTTGATAATTTCCTATGTGCGAAGGGCCACAACTCCAGCAAAAAAGGAATATTAACACGAGGTTTGAACTCAAACTGTAATCCATTATGACAAAGCCACATATTAGGTAACAAATTGATGTTGCAAGTGGTAGCGAAAAAAAGTCTGGGAAAACATTAATTATGAGATTTATGTGCAAAGGGCCATAACTCCAGCAACAAATGAAATATTGACACAGGGTTTGGACTCTAACCGTAATCCATTGTGATAAAGCCACATACTACCAGTGGCAAGTGGTAACGAACAAAGTATGGCAAACAGTTAATTATGAGAACTTTCAATGTGTGAATGGCCATACATGTAACTCCAGCAAAAAAATAAAATATTGGCACGTGGTTGGATCTTGATCTGTAATCTATTATGATTAAGCCACATACTGTACAAAGTTACAAATAGATATGGTAAATGGTGGCCAAAAAAAGTCTGGAAAACTTAAATGTGACTGCCGCCGCCAACGACAACGTGTGATGACTGACAGACTGATCCTTAAGTGTTCGCCATGCTTCTCAGGCGGCACGACCAAGGAAAGGCAGAACAGTGAAGAAAGAAAGGAAAGATTTAAGATCCCAAGTGTGTTGCAATGGGGGAAGAAGATCTATTTTGGTCTCTTAAATGTTCCCCAAGTAGTAAACATGAAAGAAAATCCCTGATTCTTCAGCGGGCCCAACTTTCAGATCTATCCGTACACCAAATTCAAGAAGAATTACACATTATTATATGTTTCGCATGTCTGAAATTGTCTGACATTGTCAGTATGGTAAGTTTTAAGCAAAACTTCAAAACTATCTAGAATTTCTGGATATTGTTTTCCAAAAACAACGGGAAAAAAATCTAAAATTTAAAGAAAGTGGTAGCGATGGGAGCACCCTATATATGTTATACAATGTAAACATAAAAATATTGGTACCTTGCAAAACAATCAGCAAATTTCGCAAATTCACCAATTCCCAAAGGAAGACAATCAATCATAACTGCACCTAGTACATAGCAAGTGTTCCTAGTTTAAAACAGAGAGTATGAGTATTACTTGAAACAAATTTTAAATTATATAAGAAATAATTCTCAGGGACACCATCTAAATGAAAATTAATTGATTGATATAGTGGAGATACATAGAAAATCCTCCCCACACGGAAAGTAAAACAAACATTACAGTAAAATGTTCAAACCTGGCCTGCATGTTGTAAAGTTTCATCTTTTGGCCTAGCTATTGTAACTTTCATTTTTCTTGGCAAATTTTGTGCAATTTTAAATATCTCCCATTCTCATCAGATGCATGTATATGAAGTGCATAAGAAATGGAAAAATAAAAATATGAATGATAAACTGCCAAAATAAGATGTATAGGAAAGCAAACAAAGGGGCACAACTCTTCGAGTTCGTGAAAATCCAGCCCTTAATTTCCTCTACTTTTAGGATGCTTCTACACCAAAGTCAAATAACTTTGGCTACTTCAACTTCTGACAGCCTAAGGTCAATGACCTTGATGAGACTTATTGTCAAAAGTCAGACAAAAAAATACTGCAGTACAATTTTATGTCAACTTATGTATTAGTGGATTTGAACACCACTGTAAATATGAATGTTGAAAAGAAATATTTTAACATTTAAGCGAACAGACCTATTTTTGTTTACAATCCTTTTAATAACAGATTTAGGGAATGAAGAGTTTAAATGTTGTTTGTTGATGTTTAGTGGATCGAAGAGATACATGCATAACATTTTTTTTTTTAAACTCAGTATTCTAAAAGATATGATTAAGGTTTCAGACATTTTTCGGTTATCAGCATCTTGTGAGGAAACTCCATGTATTGTAGCAGAAAAATGTCAACAAATAATATGAAGTGTAGTGCGGTTGATATAGAAAGTTCAATTCCTGCTATATATTTGTAGTAAAGTTGTCAAAGAATCAGATATTTGGCAAACCTTTTTTATACATATGACTTAAAAGTGGTTGCAAGGATTTATAAAACCCAAAAAACAAACTGATTCCTATCCCTTATACAGAGAACAGTGTGGAAATATAGATGAACTGAAGTATTGAAAATAACGTCAGGTAATTCGGGTAAAATGGACTTCCATCATGATTTTATATATTCATAATGTGTTAAACACATCCCATACATGTTTTCAGCCTGTTTTTGTTGTCATTATCTGTCCAGCCTGTAACATCTCATCTTTGCTAGCCAAGCGTTCATTTTGTATTCACATATTCATGTAATCAACCTTAGGGGATTTAGCCTTGTTCTCCAAGCTTTCAAATTATTGAATCTGGCACAGGGACTTGGCACGAATTACC